ACTACTAGTAAGGCACCTGTTACTACTAGCGTGGCACTTGTTACTACAAGCTTTCGAATCAGGCCTTGATGTACTTTCGAAGCAAACTTTCGCAGTGCTTGGGCTGATATCGGCCCTTCAACACTAACCTCAGGAACAGGACGTGAATTCCGGGACGACATCAGAAGCACACAGTCAAAGCTGTACCACCACGTGTACTACTACGTTGCTGAGTTTTTAGCCTTTAGCCAAAGTAGGTCCATTCTAGGTCCCAATGCTTTCCAATCTATGTCACTGATGGTGTCTTGCCACAACCCATTTTGATCGTGTCGCACCAAACACACGCGTTTGCATAGTTCCCCAAACCTCATGGCGTGGCCTTTCGACCGCCTTTCGACTCGTGCAGGTGCATGTGACTGGCCACACTTGCGACTGATCCTTTTGGATCAACAAAGTCATGATTGGCTGAAAGGCTCCTCACTGGGAATCCCCTATATTCGGAACTGAACAAGCTGTGGTTCTTTTGCAATCTGCCAAATGGGCTCGACCCCGCAGCAGTTCGTTCCTTCTACCTTTGCTAGCCCCACAAACACCCCATGTCAAATTGCTCAGAAACGAGGCACCCCAAAATCATTTCCAGTGCAAACGAGGCTGCACCCGCAACCCACAAAAAGATGCAGCTATAGCAGCCTTGCCATTCTGCTTTCCAAGTTTCACCCAAACAACCCTTGCCTGTGGTACCACACCACCCCTCCCCCATTCCGTCCCTCCACATGGCCAGCGCCCACCACCCATCGGACCCCCGTCTCCCCGCGGTCCGCGTGGCTGGCCGTCGGCGCCCTGTCCCTCGGCGCGCGCGGTGGCCGTGCCGGCGATGGCGCCCTCGGTGCCGAACTCCGCCAGCACGAACCTGGTCAACACGCGCGAGACGGAGTGCGACGGAGATGGAAAGAAAAAGGGAAGGCGAACAGAGAAGGCCCCAAGTTACGTGTGGGACCTTCTAGGTTTCTAGGTGTGGGGGGGGTAACAGTTCCTTTTAAAAACAGTCTGGGACTCCTTTCCAAGGATCGATTCCAGTTCCTTTTGAAACCAAAACGTTCAAAAGCGTTGGTATGTGAACCACCCAAAACCCCAACATCAACCCCTCTCACCGGATCACACGGATTGCAACATCCTCGCGTTCTCGGTCCCGAACTGTTGCACGTGGTCAGGCGGGCGCTTCATCATGGCGCAAATCTCGCTGAAGTTCACCCAAGCCACCTAGGAACAAGTGCCTTACTAGTAGTAACAAGTGCCTAGTAACAAGTGCCTTACTAGTAGTAACAAGAAGCTACGGTATCGCTTTTTAAATATACGATTTTTAAAACAGGTAAACAGGTATTTTAGACTACCTCCGGCAAGGTTTTTGCCAGCCCGGCCCGACCCTTTAAACATACAGAATGAATATACGGTACGATTTAAATATACGGTCAGCTTACATATGTGCGGCGGCACTTATTTGGTACTGAGCTCAAACGCGCAATCTATTATGTGGAGGCCCTATCTCGTTTCGACTACTTAAGTAGAAGGTCATGTAATGTTAGAGTATCTCGCTCAGACTACTTTAGTCTTGGTAGTCCCGGTGGTCTTGGTGGTGATTGTGGCGGCCTAGGCGGTGTTGGTGGTGCTCTTGGTGGTCCCGGTGGCCTTGGTGGTCCGGTCTTGGTGTCTCGGTGGTCTTAGTGGTGATTGTGGCGGTCTAGGCGGTGTTGGTGGTGCTCGGTGGCCTTGGTGGTCCGGTCTTGGTGTCTTGGTGGTC